ACTCATAATCAGCTTGCATTGATATATCAGAATACATGCGTTCAGTGAATGTACCATATCCCTTTATCTTAAAAATTGGGAAACGTCTTTCCGGCATCTGTGCGTCACTTGATAATCCCGAGCGTCAGTAATTTCTATTAGCTAATCAAATAAAATAGTTTTTAAATTTCCCGCGCCATTTGAAGGGGAAACTGTTATCCATAGTACTGACACGGTAATAAAGAGTTTAAGTTGTGCCAATGTGGTATTCAAAGTGGAAAAAAATATATTCTTCATCCTTGATCAATTTATTTTCAATGACATCAAATTTAAAAAAAACACAGAAAAAAACCTAACTATCTCATCACTTTTGAGAAAAAACATGTCACAACAAACACATCATCAGCCTCGACTTTATATTTACAACAACGCAGACAGCTATTTCGACGACTTATTTATTATGGGTTAATTATGTAATTCTTCAACTAAAACGTCATCCAAATGATACTTAAATTAAGACACTACAGGCTTTAAGTATATTTCAGCATGCCATTTGAATAACTTCTATCTAACACAAAGCCAATTTCCCCTGGAATCATTTAACATTTAATCAAAGGAACCACGTGATGTTATCTATGGTAACTATAACTGTTGCTATGATATGAATTTTCACGCAGTGGTTGCAGTGCTTCAGCGAATCGGTCAAAGGGAGACAACTCGGTCGAACCCTCAGCACAATGAGCATTCGTGACCAACTCGTGTTATTCCGGGACAAGCCGAATAGCAACTTGTGCCCCATTCGTGACCAATTCGTGTTATTCCGGGACAAGCCGAATAGCGACTTGTGCCCCATTCGTGACCAACTCGTGTTATTCCGGGACAAACCGAATAGCGACTTGTGCCCCATTCGTGACCAACTCGTGTTATTCCGGGACAAGCCGAATAGCGACTTGTGCCCCATTCGTGACCAACTCGTGTAATTCCGGGACAAGCCGAATAGGGACTAGTCATTCTGGACTAGCCATTCTAGACTTGAGTTAGACTCCCTTTTCAATTCTATTCTCTTGGGTCAGGGAGAGACCAGTGAAGCAGGTGACCGGGTTGGTAGTGGGGCAGTACTGTGAGGGGAGCAAGTTGTCTCTCGTCTGCTGGCATGAGTTAGTTTGCTGAATGTTAAAGATATCCTAGGTCAAGTAGAATTTCAGGCTTGGAGGTGTCCTCGAATGTTGTCACTATTTCAGTTGTATCCCTGACAAATTTCATTGTGCTAATCCAATCTCATTAAACTCAGTTCACGTGAAGATCCGGGGTAGAATAGGTCTTCAGCAACCATGCTTGCCGTAAAAGGCGACTATGCTTGTCGTAAAAGGCGACCAACGGGATCGGGTGGTCAGGCTCGCTGACTTGGTAGATGCATGTCATCGTATCCCAATTGCGTTGATCGATGCTCATGATATCATTCACTGGATTGTCTGGTCCAGACTCGATTATTTACAGACTGGTATATAACTCGTATATTGCTCATGCGGCGATAAACAAACAAACAAACAAACAAACCCAGATTCTCGCCACTGATGGACAAAGTCTTAGCTATACATTAATAACGAATATCCCATTAATCTTCAGCCATACAAAGAAACTGGTTCGATGTCACGTGTCTTTCTAACATTATAACGGCGGGTATTGTTTTGTTTATTTGTTGTTGTTTTCTTTGTTGGGGAGAAGGGTTGTGGGTGATATTATGACTCGTGTTCGTTTCTCAACTGATGACTAAGCTGTTTGTTTCAGGTTTATCACATAGGTGTCGGACTGATTGGTCGACTGAGACACGTGACAGCTATGTTTATGATGTCCATGTTTCAAGTCTTTCAGGGGGCACAGATGGCCTAGTCGTCTAAGGCGCCGCGATTCGGTGTGCAGAGTTGCGTCCCTTGGGCACACCAGAAACCTATGATTGTGGGTTCCAATCCCGGTTCGCCCCGATTATGTTTCTAGGTTTGTCAGAACCATACCCATGCTCCTGGGTTTCACCGAAGTGGTAAACGTCTGAGACCTGCATCACTTCGGGCTTTCATCCCACATTAAGACACGCCGTGATATAACTGTAATACTGTTAAAGGTTAAAAACTCACCCACTCAAGTCTTTGAACGGCATTTTCAAATGATACTCAAAAGGGAGACAATTTATGGATGTCAACTCTATTATGAGGAGCACAACGTTTCGGAGTATATGCTTACTCCTTCATCAGGTGAATGGATGCTAGGGTGCAGAGAGCATATGTATGTACCTGTAAGAACATCAAAAGTAATAGGGGCGGTCGGGTAGCCTAGTGGTTAAAGCGTTCGCTCGTCACGCCGATGACCCGGGTTCGATTCCCGACATGGGTACAATGTGTGAAGCCCATTTCTGGTGTCCCCCGCCGTGATATTGCTGGAATATTGCTAAAAGCGGCGTAAAACCATAGTCACTCACTCACTCACTCACTCAAAAGTAATACCATAACAAAGGTAAACACTTAACAAGGGACCCAACAGATGCTTAGCGCTGATTGGCTATAAACAATGGGCAAGATGGAAGCCAACAGTTACTTAGCGCTGATTGGCTATTAGCAATGGGCAAGATGGAAGCCAGGAGTTAAATTAGCACTCATTGGTAATTATGAATACACAAAGCAATTTAGAAAGTGGTAAATGTAACAAATGTTATATTTGGGATAACACTTAATTCTAGTGCTTTGGGGGTTCAGTCTCATCCGGGATTCAAACCCACACTCTCAGAGTGAGGTACCTAATCGCCCGCCCACTCGGCCACAGAGGCTTCCATAAAATAAAAGTCCGACTACTGGTAGTCTAGATCGCGTACTTTGTGTACCACAATACCGCTATGGAGGGGGTTCGATCATGATTTAGTGTAGAGCAGGATGTGGGGCACGATGACAGGTGTGCGATACAGGGAGGACATTCTAGATGTGTACGTGAGTCCATATGCTGGTGCAATCGGACCGGACCTCATCCTGACCGTGTCAGGGCCGTCGATGCCTACTTAGACCGTTTACGACATGTCGTGACCTCAGACCTCATCCTGACCGTGCCAGGGCCGTCGATGCCTACTTAGACCATTTTCGACATGTCGTGACCCCAGACCTCATCCTGACCGTGCCAGGGCCGTCGATGCCTACTTAGACCGTTTTCGACATGTCGTGACCCCAGACCTTATCCTCACCGTGCCAGGGCCGTCGATGCCTACTTAGACTATTTTCGACATGTCGTGACCCCAGACCTCATCCTCACCGTGCCAGGGCCGTCGATGCCTACTTAGACCATTTTCGACATGTCGTGACCCCAGACCTCATCCTGACCGTGCCAGGGCCGTCGATGCCTTCTTAGACCATTTTCGACATGTCGTGACCCCAGACCTCATCCTGACCGTGCCAGGGCCGTCGATGCCTACTTAGACCATTTTCGACATGTCGTGACCCCAGACCTCAACCTGACCATGCCAGGGCCGTCGATGCCTTCCTAAACCATTTTCGACATGTCGTGACCCCAGACCTCATCCCTATCGAACACACAGTGGACTTTTGTTCATGAAACATGTCTTCACGCAATATTGTCTTTTTCAACAGATGCACACAATTTGACGTATTACTTAGCGAACTTTGAGTTAAGAAATAAATTTTCTCTACCCCCATATGTCGTGTAAAAAAGAACAGTTTTGCTCTGAAATGTTGTAGGTAAATCTCCGAGGACGCTTGCGGTGCTTTACGTTATAATAGTTTAAGGTAAAACTATACTGTATAACACAAGCGTCATCGTACTTTAACTATAATAGTTCAGGGCAAAACTACACATTATTACACTACACATGGGGGTAAAGAAAACTTAAATACTTTTCTAAGATGCCGAATTTAAGATTAACCTTATGTTTTATTGGAGATGGGGTTAAAATCAAGAATGCCCGCTTCGGACAACTTTGTGGCTGCCGTGGCACCGACACTGTAGTTTGAATATGTTTTGGAACATAGGGCGCCTTTGATAATTTAGCGAAGCAGCTTAGAATGATATACAGTAAACTACGGTTATAACGAACACGTTTATAACGAACTGACGGATATAACGAACTAACTTTTTAGTCCCGACTATTTGCTGTAGTTATGCTGTATATATGCTTATAATGAATTACGGTTATTACGAACTAAAATTAGTAGTCCCTTAGAGTTCGTTATAACCGTAGTTTACTGTATAACAAAAGATGGTGTCATTACCCTCGAGCAACGATAATATCGCCTGTGCATCAAAGTATATAATATTTTTGTTCATCAATGTTCGCCAGTTGTTTTTTTCCCACTCGCCTTCGCATTGCGTGAAAACAAATGTCGCAAAAAGTGGCCAGGCTATAATAAATTTATAACACTTGGGTTGCGCACCGCTCAACACTTAAAAAACTCAAACCAGTCAGTAAAATATACAACGTCACCATTCAAAACAACGACATGGCTTGGCTTGAACCACGTCGACCCAACTTCTGTATTGAATAAATGAGCTTGATTTCCGCACTGGTTTTCTCACCCGAGGTTGTCTCCCTTGGACTACCAACGCACATAACAGGAAACGCGCGAGCAATTGACAACCAAAACGAGCATTTTTCGATCCTACATGATTTCACCTAGATACATAGATGTGGGAAAGTGACTAACATTATATTTAGTGTTGTAATGAATGTAACAGGTTGTTCAAAGTGAATTCGATGTTGAAAAAAGGCCCACAAGTTGAATATACGACATATATACACAGTTACCTAACAAATTCACGTCCAATGTTCACAAGGAAACAAGACGATGAGCTAGATCACGGAAAGAATTATTTGACAACATATTTTCTTTTTACAAACAAAGAAACATCATGGTGCAATACCAGCCTGAGATCGATCAGCAATATATTTTTGCAACGTTCAGCGATTTATTCTAAAAATAGTAACTGACGGTAAATAGTGTATGAAACTAGTCTTTGTTCGCGTCATGAAGACGAGGCTGTGGTTGAAGGTATATAAGTAATGTTGACAGCGGTTCGGCTCAGTCTGAGCGAGAACGGCAGTTTGTCGACATCTTAACATAGAACTAAGTTTGCAACGTGTCAACAACGACGATGGCCGAGTCAGCGCTTTCATTCGACAGGTAGAAACGTGTTTGACTTATGTTTGACACTTCTCAATGTACAATGTTGTGTTTACATGAGAACATGTATGGTCATGTATTGCTAATAGTATTAATGTAGTCGGGAGAGGGAGCGCTCATACGTGTATTGGATAAAGGTGTCAAGATTGAATCATGTTTATTGATTGGCGATCACGAGATTGGTTCCGTCGTGTAAATGATTCGATTACTTAGCAATATTCCAACTATATAACGGCGGTCTGGACCTGACAATCCAGTGATTGATATCATATTGCTGAGGACCAATTCCAACCCGGAAGCTCCACGGGAATCAATTATCCAGTCGTATTGAGACGACACATGTACTCATACATAAAATATAACATAGTCCCTGACACCCCCCCAAAAAAACAAAAAACAAAACAAAAACAAAACAAACCCAAACAGGATGAGTATAGGCTGCTAGAGCTGAGAAGGGGATGGGTATAGGCTGCTAGAGCTGAGGAGGGAACTTACGTACTTTTGGTCCCAAAATTTAGGTCTTTTGGTCGGGGATTTTTATTAAAAAAATGTCAAATTTAAAAGAAATAATTATTTCCCCAAAATATTCATAAATTCTTGAAATGAATTTTTGGAAAGGTTAAAATAATTGTATTTCAATAAAAATCATATATGTTGATAGCGAGACTAAAGGAGTTTTTTTAAAAAACATTTTACTCATTTCTGATCGACGGAATAACCCCCGGCTCCACCCTCCCTCACTGATTTTCATTTTTTGGCTTCATAGTCAATTTTTTGGGAGTCGGCTAATTCGTAAACCAAGATTTGAAAAAGTCTGGCCTAAGGCATAATTAGATTACGTTGCAGGTATATTCCATACGTGACCTGAATTAGGCTGCATACCAAAATATAAATGTTTCCCGGGAAAACGTATCTCCCAAGTGAAAGAAGGTGGTAAGGATGGTTTGCGACTAGGCAGACATTGAACTCGGAACTTGGATACAAACGCACACGTTTGTGTTCATTTTATGGATTACATAATCTGTTGCATATAACGCGGGGAATTTGGGAAACAAATATTTTTTAATATGCCTTAGGATTTAAAGTGACGCGAGTCCCAAGAAACATTTACTTTTTAGCCTTTGTGTAATTTTGAAATACTGTTTGATTTCAGCGAAGCGACGAAAAGGGAACTGGCAACCAAGGGCTACGCTGTCGTTCCTGACGTTTTAACTGGAAAGGAATGCGATGAGCTAATTGGACGATACAAATTATGGCTTGGGACATTTCAAGATGGAGACTTCCCAAACAGACGAAAATCAATTTTACACCAATACCGGATTGGACACTTTGGTGCCACGTGGTCTGCGAGGTTGAAGGTCAAGCCGGTGTTCGCCTCGATCTGGGATACGGAGAAGCTCCTAACAAGTTTTGATGGGGTTGCCATATCAAAGCCCCCCGAGGAAACAAACGGAGAATTTGATACGGGGTCGTCTTGGCTTCATTGCGACCAGAAGCCGTCTAGAAAAGGTCTCCATTGCTACCAGGGGGCGCTGTATCTGGAAGAAGTGACAGATATGGACCACTGCCTTAGAGTCCTGTCACACTCGCACCGACACCACGAGGAGTTTTTCAGCCAATTTGCCAGCGCTCGGAAAAAGAGCTTGAAGTCCGAGTTTTACAAGCTCACGAAAGCTCAATCTGAGTGGTATCACAAACGGAAGTGCGAAGCTGTCAAAATTTCAGTCCCAAAAGGCGGAATTGTGCTTTGGGACTCAAGAACTATCCACGATAGTGTCCCACCAGTTCATGGGCGTCCAAATGACGACAGGTGGCGCTGGGTGGTGTTCGTGTGTATGACGCCTGCTCAATGGGCAACTGATGAAGACAAACAAAAACGTGCATGTGCCTATAATAACCTTCAGATGACCAACCACTGGCCGTCTCAGGACACAATGTTGTTTAAGAGCAGGCAGAAGAAGCACAATGGAGACCCAATGAATTGTGTTGACGCCATCCCACAAGATGGCGCTACCTTCACTGCTCGCCGATTGGCTGCTGTTGAGGAGTACGATTTTGAAGATGGCCAATCAAATGGCCCCGGCTGGGAGCCCGTATGGGACCACCAGATGACCTGATGGGATATTTCACTGATCGTGGACTTGTTGGAACAAGGAGCCTATACTATATGCAGTGGACATCGTCTTTATTTGATTGGACTAACCATTTATTGTTTGTTCATAAAGTTTTGAGTCAGCAGTAACAGTGGTGTTGTAAAAGATCCCATATCAAAACAGATCATTCACACATATCTGTATTGAGACGAAAAGCTCGGTCGGCCATGTTGTCTGACTTGTATCAACTATAGACATATAAAACGTTATATGACATGTCATGACAGATTAACTATAGACACATGTTATATGACAGACCATGATATGACAGATTAATTGTAGACATATGAAGTGTTATATGACATATGTCAAGAGAGATTAACTGCAGACACATGTTATATGACATGACATGACATGACAGGTTAACGATAGACTTATGAAGTGTTATATGACATATGTCAAGACAGATAAACTATAGACATATGTTATATGACATGACATGACAGATTAACTATAGACACATGTTATATGACATGACATGACAGATTTACTGTAGACACATGTTATATGACAGACCATGACAGATTAACTGTAGACACATGTTATATGACATGACATGACAGATTTACTGTAGACACATGTTATATGACATGACATGACATGACAGGTTAACGATAGACATATGAAGTGTTATATGATATATGTCATGACAGATTAACTATAGACATATGTTACATGACTTGTCATGGCATATTAACTTTAGACACATGTTATATGACATGTCGTGACAGATTAACTGTAGACACATGTTATATGACATGTCATGAGAGATTAACTGTAGACACATGTTATATGCCATGTCATGAGAGATGAACTGTAGACATATGTTATATAACTTTTCATGGCAGATTAACTGTAGACACATGTTATATGACATGTCATGAGAGATTAACTGTAGTCACATGTTATATGACATGTCATGAGAGATCAACTGTAGTCACATGTTATATGACATGTCATGACAGATTAACTATAGACACATGTTATATGACATGTCATGACAGATTAACTGTAGACACATGTTATATGTCGTGCCATGAGAGATTAACTATAGATACATGTTATATGACATGTCATGACATATTAACTATAGACATATGTTATATGACATGTCATGAGAGATCAACTGTAGTCACATGTAATATGACATGTCATGACAGATTAACTATAGACACATGTTATATGACATGTCATGGCAGATTAACTGTAGACATATGTTATATTACTTGTCATGACAGATTAACTGTAGACACATGTTATATGATATGTCATGAGAGATTAACTGTAGACACATGTTATATGACATGTCATGAGAGATTAACTGTAGACATATGTTATATTACTTGTCATGGCAGATTAACTGTAGTCACATGTTATATGACATGTCATGAGAGATCAACTGTAGTCACATGTTATATGACATGTCATGACAGATTAACTATAGACACATGTCATATGACATCTCATGGCAGATTAACTGTAGTCACATGTTATATGACATGTCATGACAGATTAACGACAGACACATGTTATATGCCATGTCATGAGAGATTAACGACAGACATATAAAATGTTCTATGACGTGTTCACCCAATGTTTCGAGAGGCGTTACTCATTTACCGGGCCTCGAAATATCGAGTGACACACTCGTTATTCAACAATCACGTGTTGTATGTTCCCGTATTTAATGTCAACAGTATATAATGGTTGTCTTTCTGTTATTTTGTACACACATCGCTTCACATATACAAACTGGTGTATTTGGTTTATTTGTTGTGCTCTTCCTAAATAAAGAGTATCCTATGAATGTGTTGATCCTTCTTAATCCAATGACCTGCAGATTTCGGGTTCGGTACCGGGAGCTCGTCGTATCAGCTGAGTAGCGAGGACGGTCACAATGGCCGTATGTGTGTATGTATGTTCTTTGTTGTTAAACACCGCGCTCTCCGCTATTCCAGCTGAAAATGATCGAGTCGGGACCAGACAGTCCATGCAGTGATCGACATCATGAGCACCGATCCTCGTAATGGGGATGCTGTGGCATGCAATGAAGTAAGTCACCGAGCCTGGCCAACCGATCCACGACAAGAATAGATTGCTTGGGACTGAGGCGGGGATGGGTACTCCCCCCCCCACCCCCCACCCCCCCCCCACCCCTTCTCACAACCTCCCTACTGAGGTGGGGGTGGGTACCCCTCTCGGTTATATCCCATTAGTTAGACGTCCCATTAGTTAGACGTCCCATTTGTTAGACATTTGTATTTAGGCAAAGATCGAATATACCTACAGGTATAATGGATCAGTCCTCATTAGATAAAAAATACTGAGTAGGAATAGGGGACTCACAGTATAGGGAGTACATATGTTACAATTTCGTTTAATTAACCTAAATGACCTTACTCTCAGCACAGGTTCAATAGGCATGGCATTAACTATGTAAACTAAGGTCTTACTGTATGTTCAGTTGAAGGACTTGAGTTTAGATTATCTACTTATCCAACAAATAAAAATGATCATGGGGTATGTATCATTATCAGTATCGATATGACTGGTTTAAGGAAAGTAGAGTATTTCACCTCGCGGCGTGGAAGTAAGTACAAAAAACAGGTCTTAAAGGTCAAATAATTAACTATATCCAAAGTTTCCTAACAAACCGCAAAATCACCGTGGGCATAGACCAAACGCTATCGGACCAATGTCCCCTAGAAAATGGCACTCCCAAGGGCAGCATCCTTAGCCCAACACTCTTCAATATTATGATTAACGATCCTCAGATCCGATCTCAAAACACACTGGTTTCGGTGTCCACATCGCACAACCAACCCAAAACACACAATCTTACCGACTCCCAAACAACCAATCCATATTCACGGCCGAACTAATGGGCATGGCCTCAGCAATACACAATCAGCAATCTACAAATCCAAACTGTATAAAATTTATCAGATGTAAAGTGTCATTAAATGTTAAGTATAATATTAAAGTATCTATTTAAAGCTGCTTTGCTTTGTTTGTCAGATCTTATCTGGACTATTCCATTTTAAAGTCAGAGGTAACAGGCAAAAGGATTTGTGTGCACTCAACCGTTTAAAGTGTTGTTTTAAGCTGTCTAACTATTGGGACGTCTAACTAATGGGAGGACACCCCCCTCTCACAACCTCCCTACTGAGGCTCTAACAAGCATAGTCGCCTTTTAGGGAAAGCATGGGTTGCTGAAGACCTATTGTAACCCGGATCTTCACGGGCCTATTAAATGTGTGCTCTGGGGTCTGTAAAGGAGACCACTTGCCCCCGTCTGTAAAGGAGACCACTTGCCCCGTCTGTAAAGGAGACCACTTGCCCCGTCTGTAAAGGAGACCACTTGCCCCCGCCTGTACAGGAGACCACTTGCCCCCGTCTGTAAAGGAGACCACGTGCCCGTCTGTAAAGGAGACCACTTGACCTCGTCTGTAAAGGAGACCACTTGCCCCCGTCTGTAAAGGAGACCACTTGCCCCCTTCATCAATCCGTGTCACGTTGTATACGATTGAGTGAGTTGTTGTTATGCCAATTGTAGCAATGTGACTCGATTCATGCACACCGCCGGCGTTAAATAAACACTACATATGTTTACTACATTATCGATATTTGATAAACAAGTGACATTGTAACCGAGCAAGGAAGCCACGTGTTGTATCACGCATTGGAATGTCAATATGTCTGACACACATACATACATCCACTACGAGCCGGTGCAGGGTTACGACTGTTCAAATATTTGTTTACGCGTGTGTTGCGTTCGAGTGACACGTTCACCTGTTCCTGTTTTTATACGAACGATTGCACCTTTGCCATACTGGAACAAGGGCTATGCGTTATAGAGCCAGACGCTTGAGATGAGTCGAGATGCTTCTCTGAGCAAAACAAAGATGAAGAGATAACCTATCTAAACACAGCCAACCTGACCCGTGAAGATCCGGGGTAGAATAGGTCTTCAGCAACCAATGCTTGCCGTAAAAAAGCGACTATGCTTGTCGTAAGAGGCGACTAACGGGATCGGCTGGTCAGGATACTTGACTTGGTTGATGCATGTCATCGTATCCCAACTACGTAGATCGATGCTCATGATGTCAATCACTGGATTGTCTGGTCCTGACTAGTTTATTTACAGACCGCTGTCATAGAGCTGGAATATTGTTGAGTGCGGCGTTAAACAACAAACAAAACAAACAGCAGCTAACCTCTTTATATTGCTCAGACTCGAGTTGTGTCTTAACAGTTGGAATTTAACGTGGCTGGACGTTTGTTTTATACACTCCTATATAAGGGGGCAAGGGTGGCCCAGTCGTCTAAGGCGCCGCGATTCGCTGTGCAGAGTTGAGTCCCTTGGACACGCCAGAAACCTATGATTTTGGGTTCGAATCAGGTTCGCCCCGATTATGTTCCTAGGTTTGTCAGCACCATACCCGTGCTCGGTTTCACCGAATTGGTAAACATCTAAGACCTGCAACTCTTTGGGCTTTCCTCCCACATCAAGCTGACATGCCGTGATATAACGTACACCATTCAAGGCGGCGTGAAACCTCACTCACTCACTCATTCATTCACTCACAGTATTAATGGAACATGCAATTTCATTTAAATCCGAGCTTTGTTTAGTAGTAGCGACAACGAATTTGTCTTACGTTTAAAATATCAACCTCACTGCTGAAAGTTGCGGTTTATAAACCACAATAACATTTGCCCGAACACAACCAATTGTTGATCGTCTGCTTTGAATGGGTTTCCATGAGAGCTGCGACTCAATAGTAGACTGGGCACTGTCTATAGATAAAGTTGTACAACCTATGTTATTTATATCATTGTGGGTAGATTTCACCCAATTGTGCAATATGGTCCTGACAGTAAAAAGCCGCGAAGGAGAAGCCTAGGAGCGCCTTTTTCATCGGATGTGGACAGCAGAGGTCACTTCCAACAATTATCTGTCGACGAGCAGACGACACTTGAACTATTTGATATGGCGACGGAGGGCGAGATGCACGACTTTACCGGTATCGACAGGTTGGTAGTCTACACTATTGCTTCAGACACTGGCTGTGAAAAAGCGAGTGAGTGAGTGAGTGGGTTGGCTCGGATAGACGCAGCTTACTGAGGTAGTATATATGTTTAAGAAGGGGAGGGGTGGGGTGTAGGGTGTAGTGTGTGGGGGGTGGGGTGTGTATGTGGGGGGAGGGGGGGTATGCATCACATTTTTTAAAATTGAAATTGCGTTTCTTTTGCGGTTCAGTATAGTGGTGCTTTGAGGTTTACGATTGGTGACTGAAAGGGTTGAGGCTAACCGTGATGGACTGTGTTTGTGGAGCTGGTTGCTTAATCCCATGGGAGTTTCACACACATGTGCCAACGATGCTGGAGTGCCTGGATCCTAGTGGGATAGAATACTTCCCTCCTGCTGGTGTACATTGTCATCCACGGTAGAAATGACGACCTCATAATGTGCATAATGCTTGCTAGACAGTTCTTTCTTCAAGTTTGGGGGCGGTCGGGTAGCCTATCGGTTAAAGCGTTTGCTCGTCACGCCGAAGACCCGGGTTCGATTCCCGACATGGGTACAATGTGTGAAGCCCAATTCTGATGTACCCCGTCGTGATATTGCTGGAATATTGCTAAAACCATACTCACTCACTTAAAGGGAGGGGTTCCAAAATATCAAAATCTTCTGTCATTGTCAGTGTGTGTGTGTGTGTGTGTGTGTGTGTGTGTGTGTGTGTGTGTGTGTAATCCTCCTACGCACAAGTAGCCGATTCTGTCACGACTAAGGTACTCATATATACAATTTCTTCACCTCATATTAGATGGTTCTCATACACTGTACGAGGTGAGGTGAAATTGGGTTTAACGTCGCGTCCAAGATTATTGCACTTATATAGCGACGTGCATGCACGTGTATGTGTGTGTGTGGCTGCTTGTACTAGTCCGGACTGATGCCGATTTATAGTGCTAGCTCACTAAGATACCATGCCGCATTGGAGAAGCCAGAAATGAAAGATTATGTGATAATTTTTAACTGTCCTACATGGATGAATATCATTTCTTACTCAGTTGTAATACATATCAAGCATTTTGACGTTTGTACATTCTTTTAAAAATTTATGAATATCCAACAATCTGCAAATTTAATATGCTTATGCTCTCTTCAAATGCAACCAACTTATATGTGTACAGTAAACTACGGTTATAACGAACACAAAAGGACCACTAATTTTAGTTTGTAATAACCGTAGTTCGTTATAAGCATAAATACAGCATATATACAATAAATGGCCGGGACTAAAATTAAGTTCGTTATATCTGTCAGTTCGTAATAAGCGTGTTCGTTATAAGCGTAGTTTACTGTATGTATGTCTGTGAGACAGTCTTCATTATAATATACTTTCTCACTCCGTACTCGATGTGCAACTGGGCCTATGACCTTTTAGAATAAACTACTACTGACCCTATGTCAAAGTTCTTCAGCTCAAATTAGACGTGGACGTATCTGCTTGCACGTCTACCGGGCGTTGATAACTAAATATATATGGATACAGCCAACCACTTCGCTGACCATTGCAACACGAATTGAAAAACTCAACTCATTCCAATCCTTATTTCAAAACGATTTCCCCAGTTTGAATTAAATAGACTAAACTTTTCACACAGGGGCTAGAACAGAACTAAGAGGAAGTTGAAGATCACCCGATTTAGTCATAACTATAGGTAATCTGTCATGACATGACATGACATGACATGACACATGTCATGACAGCTTAACTGTAGTCATCTGAACAATTCCGGTGTTCCTTAACTTCTTTTGAGTAGCATATATTGATACTCTATTCACATTAAAATGAAAGTTTTAAAATTAAGCAAATGCAATGAAATCATTTCTAATTTCCCACTGACATAAATAGGAAAAGATGCGTGGGTTTTCGCGGAATGAGAATGATTGTGGTCCTTGAGATAGGAGATGGAATTGTTCCAAAATCATGAGGAATTATTTATTACTGAATCCTCATACTAAGAGAGGTTTAATTAATTCTACCCACATAGTCAAACGGTTGATGCATGTCATCGATCCCAATTGCGCGGATCGATGCTCATGATATTAATAAATGGAATGTCTGGTCCAGACTCGATTATTTACAGACCGCCGTCATATAGCTGGAATATTACTGAGTGCATGCACGTCACTATATAAGCGGAATAATCCTGGACGCGACGTTAAACCCTCATTCACCTCACCTCACATCAACGGATGCTCCTAATCCATGTCTTATATATATCTTCAGGGAATCAGTTATGCACGACCTGGAGGCGAAAGGGTATGCTGTGATACCGGACGTTTGCAGTGCGCAGGACTGTGACACGTATATATCCCAGTACCGCGATTGGCTGTCCCAGTTTGAGGAAGATGATTGGCCGTTTCAAGTTGAATCAGTAATACAGAGTTATGACATTGGACATTTTGCAAATACCTGGAATTGCCGATTAAAAGCAAAGCCAGTTTACGCTAAAATTTGGGAGACCGAGAAGCTCCTCACAAGTTTCGAAGGTGTATCTATTTCATTTCCCCCTGAAACTGAAAGATTCGGTATTTATGACTACGGCAAAGATTGGTTCCTTGCTGACCAATCGCCACAAAGAGTTGGTCTCCATGGTTACCAGGGAGCAATGTTTTTGGAAGAGGCGTCAGAAACGGACTATTGCTTCCGGGTCCTGCCGGGGTCACACAAACATTTCGAGGCTTACTATGAAGAATTTGAAGACAATGCAAGGAAGAGCTCCAGAAACCAATTTAATAAATTAGGCGACGATGAAAAAGCTTGGTTCAAAGAAAAAGGATGCGTTGCCCAAAAGGTTCCCGTCCCCAAAGGAGGGATGGTTGTTTGGGATTCGCGAACAGTGTACGATAATTGCAGACCAGTTAAAGGCCGTCCTAATTCCGACAGGTGGCGCTTTGTGGTTCTTGTATCCATGGCGCCTGCGCAATGGGCTAAACCGGATTACAAGACAGACAGACGAAAGGCTTACAAGAAAATGATGACGACAGACCATTTTCCGTCACAAGGAATCAAAATGTTTGAAGCCTCTCATCCTCCACATTTCAGCGACATTATATCTCCTATTGGCGAAAGTCTTCCGGAAGTTGCCACGACAAAGGAGGCGTTGCTGTTGTCTGGAGTAGAGGAGTACGACTTTGACGACGGTGAACCTAACGGACCTTCCTGGCAACCTGTCTGGAAGTAGAGCACCGGCCTCTGATGCACACCGGACGCAAACACTACCGATCAAAAATAACTTCCACATCATAAGGACAGTTTCGATGTAACAATAGTTTGGTATAGTCTTCGAAAAAAGGGGAAGGTATTTTGGAGCATTTCTTTTCATATCAAGTGCTTGTAATCTAGAACCACTATGTACAAGTGATTATAAAATATATAATTCATCTAAGGACACTATACCTTTAGCTGTGTTATACAAAGGGATTCCGATCGGGGAATACAAAACATCTGTAACGGTTTTTCGTTATTTCATGACGGACTGACTCTTTGGGTGAGTGAGTATGTTGGGTTCTATGCCGTTTGGGGTGAAGATCCGGGGTAGAATAGGTCTTCAGGAACCAATGCTTGCCGAAAAAGGTGACGATGCTTGTCGTAAGAGGCGACTAACGGGATCGGGTGGTCAGGCTCGCTGACTTGCTTGATGCACGTCATCAATCCCAATTACGTGGATCGATGCTCATGATATTAATCACTGGCTTGTCTGGTCCAGCCTCGATTATTTACAGACCTCCGTCATATAGCTGGAATATTGCTGAGTGCGGCGTAAAACAACAAACCACAAACAACCACGATGGGGTTCCAGAAATTGTACCGGTTTGTAGAATAGAACTCTGTAGATCCGTATACATGTACATCGCAACTAGAGCTTCAACACTGTCCACATCTAGTCTTAAAACATATCCAGAGATCTCTGATGAAACTCTTTCAGTAAAGTAATTTCGTTTCAACCCCCTTACATCACAATACATAACCAAAACCGTAAGAAATCAGAAAGTATCTTTGAAACCCATGGTGTCACTAACCAACATTGTGAAAGTAAAATAACATATTATATAACTTCTTCTGTGAACACTGCTTATGCAGATGTCAGGCCGCTATCGATTCCAACGGGGGACATACGCGTTATTGATGGTAGCTGTCCTTCACCTTGGACTTTTCCTATGTACCGATAGCTGAGATGACTACAATCACCAAGTGTTCTCTCCACAACATTTTGGCTCAATACCTTGTACGGTTCCTCGTATAAATGTGTTTTCCTACCTCACACAAATCTGGCTTTGCGTTTCTTTTTTTGAAGAGTATATGTCATACACCGTTTCAGTGAGACTTTTATAAAGACAGCATGTAGGTTCGCGCATTGAGTGAGTGAGGGAGTGAGTGAGTGAGTGAGTGAGTATTTTGTAGACAAAAATACGCATGCGTATATCCATGGTACCAGAGATTGCACTCGGAGCATTTTTTATCAAACCCAGATAGTGCTGCAAACAAATTGTTAAAATGTTCGGCTCAGTTGTTTTTTATCCTTTTTATTTTAAGCTGACTTTCAATCAAAATTAATTAGCATATTAGTCTTAGGTTTGTCAACATGTGTTCGATACCTCTCATCGGAATAGTGGATGCTCCAAATGGCATGGATTGGCTATTTATTTGAGACAGTCTGTTTAAATTGTTTTCACTTATTTTGACGTTTTTTTTCTGCATTATTTTGTTAAATTATTTTAACAGCATCCGTGTATTTTGCCACAGGATATGTGTTTAGGGATGGGGGTTTATCTCCATAAATATACATGACTAATAACATCGTCATGTTAAAAATAGAAAGCGGATATGGGCCAAAGGATGCGTGTTGTGCGATGCGTTTCGTGTTTCTGTTTTTGAACGGGCACATGAAGCCAGTCGTGCAAACGACATAAACTCAAGTCATAAGTAGGTGAATGTTGTTTTAACGCGCAACTTTCCATTTATTTCCTGACAGCCTGTAAATAAACGAGTGAGTGAGTGAGTGAGTGAGTGAGTGAGTGAGTTTGGTTTAACGCCGATTTTAACAGTATTCCAGTTATATCACGGCGTGTCAGCTTAATGTCATTGATTGAAAATTTTAGTATAGTTATATCGACTTGAAACTATTGTTTGTGTTTATGAGTGAGAGAGTGAGTGAGAGAGAATTACACTTATATTGCGTCGTGTCAGCTTAATGTGGGAGGAAAGCCCGAAGTGATGCAGGTCTCAGACGTTTACCACTTCGGTGAAACCCACGAGCACGGGTATGGTGCTGACAAACCTAGAAACATAATCGGGGCGAACCGGGGTTCGAACCCACAATCATAGATTTCTGGCATGCCCAAGGGACGCAACTCTGCACAGCGAATCGCGGCGCCTTAGACGACTGGGCCACCCGTGCCCCCATAAATAAACGAGTCCTGACCAGGCAAACATATAAAAGGAAAGGGTACTGGGGATCCGTTCTGCCTCGGTATCTCACAGGAATTTATAAATATTATTCTCATTCATGGAGAGTATGCCTTCATAGTGTGTGTGGGGAGGTCGGGTAGCCTAGTTGTTAAAGCGTTCGCTCGTCACGCCGAAGATCCGGGTTCGATTCCCGACATGGGTACAATGTGTGAAGCCCATTTCTGGTGTCCCCCGCCGTGATATCGAATATTGCTAAAAGCGGCGTCAAACCATACTCACTCACTCATAGTGTGTGTGAGTGAGTGAGTTTGATTTTATACCGCTTTTAGCAATACCAGGGCGGGGGACACCAGACATTTGACCCATTTCGGGAATCGAACCCGGGTCTTCTGCGTGACGAGCGAACGCTTTAAACACTAGGCTACCCCACCGCTCCTGTGCCTTCAGAAATTATAGAAGATGAAATCGGTTATCTTACTGAACGTTTCAAAACAACACCAACGTTAATCTGATTAGTGGATATGAATAATATTCTCGGTATGTTTTGGTGTTTATTTTTAATTTCGATAAATCTAAATAAACACATCGTACTGTTGTACCCACTTCCTCAAACTAACTTCAAGAACACAGTGTGCCGGTTAAAAGAACACGTTAATAAAACATACACCAAACATTCGCTCGAATACATCTTGGATGAGTATTTCCTATTTTTATCCAAATGGAAACTCCAACAAGCCGCGAGGTGTCAGCGAGTACCGGAACAACCCATTTCAGAATACAGTCCTAGATATAAACTTTAGAGGTTTCTGACTGCTCTGAAGTCATTGGAATACGTTGTCACGTTTAAAGATAACGAGTCACGATAACTTACATTCTGGAGAGAGCAGACGACACGTCAGGCATGGCTACTAATGTGAAAGGAGGGGCGTGTTTTGACAGGTACGTTCAAATTGATACACATAGACTCGTCTACAATCCAAATTATATTTATTAATATTTTCAACCAAATTATCAGGTACATCCCGCGTGTATATTCAACACACACGATGTATTAATCGTCAATGCTTATGTCATGAATCCTCGCAATTCCTCCGTTCTTCAGACCCCTACCACTCAGATTTCCCGACCCCCCCCAGACCGACCAACCTCGTCTGTCCTCCCTCAGACCGACCAACCTCGTTTGTACGCCCCCCCCCCCCCAAAGACCGACCAACGACCAACCTCGTCTGTCCTCCCCAAAAGACCTACCAACGACCAACCTCGTCTGTCCTCCCCCCCCCCCAGAACGACCAACCTCGTCTGTCCCCCACCCCCCCCCCCCCCCACCCCCACCCCCCCGACCGACCAACGACCAACCTCGCCTGTCTTATCCCCCAGACCGACCAACGACCAACCTCGTCTGTCCTCCCCGCCCAGAACGACCAACGACAAACCTCGTCTGCCCCCCCACCCCCCTCCCCCCCCGACCGACCAACGACCAACATCGCCTGTCTTATCCCCCAGACCGACCAACGACCAACCTCGTCTGTCCTCCCAGCCCAGAACGACCAACGACCAACCTCGTCTGCCCCCCCCCCCCCCCGACCGACCAACGACCAACCTCGTCTGTCCTCCCCGCCCAGAACGACCAACGACCAACCTCGTCTGTCCTCCCCGCCCAGAACGACCAACGACCAACCTAAATTTATGTCAGGTTAATTCATCAAGACTTTTATGCATGATACAACATTAATATTGAAAGAGAGAGAGAGAGACCTACCTGTGATAATGTAGAAGCGTTTACTAACATATATTTATAATGTATGTGATGTGGTCAAGATCGTCTCTTTAATAAAAAGTTTTGCTTCTCTCTCGTCAGGGGTGCAGTTATGCGAGATCTGGAGGAGAAAGGGTATGCCGTGATACCGGATGTCTGCAGTGCGCAGGACAGTGACGTCTACATATCCCAGTTCCGTGATTGGCTATCTCAGTTTAAAGAGGGCGAATTCCCGTTCCAGAGCCAGTCTATAATCCAAGGCTATGATGTAGGTCATTTCGAAAACACCTGGAACTGCCGCTTTAAAGCCAAACCAGTTTTTGCTAAAGTCTGGGAGACTGAGAAGCTCCTAACAAGCTTTGACGCTGTAGCCATATCTGATCCCCCGGAAAACCAAGAAACTGGTGTTTATGATACCGGGAAAGAATGGCTTCATCTTGACCAACCGGCAGAAAGAATTGGTCTCCATGGTTACCAAGGCGCTCTGTATTTGGAGGAGGCGACAGAAACTGACTACTGCTTCAGGGTCCTGTCGGGATCGCATAAACATTTCAACGCTTTCTTTGAAGAATTTGAAGCCTCTGCACAAAAGAGCAACAAAAATAAGTACCATGTATTAACGAAAGACGACAAATCTTGGTTCCGAGGAAAGGGCTGCGTTATCACAAAGGTTCCTGTTCCGAAAGGAGGGATGGTCCTTTGGGATTCTCGGACAGTGCATGACAACTGCAGACCGGAGAAAGGCCGCCCCAATTCCGACAGATGGCGCTTTGTGGTGTTCGTGTGCATGACGCCGGCCAAGTGGGCTCGGCCGGAAGATGTTCCTGACAAGAAGAAGGCCTACACACATATGATGATGACAGGACATTGGCCATCTCAAGGAATCAACATTTTTGAGAAGTCTGATCCTTCTGATTACAGTAAAATCAAGTCTCCGATCGGCGACAGTCTTCCGGAAGTTGCTACGACAAAGGAGGCGAAGTTGTTGTCTGGAGTGGAGGAGTACGACTTTGACGACGGTGAACCTAACGGGCCTTCCTGGGAACCTATTTGGAAGAAGAATACTCGTCTTGGATTTGTATAGGGAACATACTTTATTGTCCGGAAAAAAACACGTGAACATTACACTACGAACAACTGGCTTCCAATGTCTCGTGAATCGGCTAGTTTAACAAAATATTGGCATTCGTAGGAGCCTCGTTAATCCGCACTCAAGTAGACCCGAACTAGGAAATTGTACATTTCCCATGTATACAGTATGACATGATTCTATTTGTGTTTTCGTTTATCCAGACTATTTGTTGAAGCTGATGTGAGGCAAGCGACCTATCTTGCACAGGAAGACACACGTATAACCGTCTTGTGTATTGGTCACAATATGACCTCATTTTCAGACGCAAGATCATTTGAACTGGGAACATATTAACCAGGGCTTTGTTCCACAAAGCGACCGCAGCGCTGAGGTCATCGTAAATCCCATACTTTAATATACACCTATGACTCGCGTTGCGCTACGATCGCTTTGTGGAACGGAGCCCTTCATATTGGACAGGACGCAATCATTGTTTCCGATATGGGTTTAAATAAGAAAATTACAACAAATCCGAGATATACGTATTCCATCTACCCTGGTGTGTTCCGAATTTATAAGAAAACCTCTCGGAACAAAGTCACTATCTTATTATTTAGCAATGTTTCACTTATTTGTTTGGTATTTTGTTTGCGTGCGTCGTCAAGGTTTTTTGAGACATCGTTTACATGTTATGATAAAACAATGGAGCCTGCTCCAGTCTATCAGCCTATGTGAAGCTCTACTGTACTACACACAGAAGTTAAAGAACACTCGAATCTTACATATTACCATAGTTAATCTGTCATGGTGTTTAACTTCTTCTGAGTAGTATAGTCGTCTAAGGCGCCGTGCAGAGTTGCGTCCCTAGAAACCTATGATTGCGTGTTCGAATCCCGGTTCGCCCCGATTATGTTTCTAGGTTTGTCAGCACCATGTGGGTTTCACTGAAGTGGTAAACGTCTGAGACCTGCATCACTTCGGGCTTTCCTCCTACACGCTGACACGCTGCGATATAACTGGAATAACTCACTCACTCACCCATTACAGCATGACACATTTGTCACGATCTCGGCAAGGAACAGAGTATCGATGTGAGGAGCTGAGGTAAATATGCGTACACACGGCTGACGTGGAGATGGATTGATGGATACGTCAATGGATATATGTAAGAATTATGTAAATTTTGAAAATTATAGTTGAAACAAGATATTTATAAGAAAACATACAGCTTTATGGATAAATACTTCTGGTTATCGTATATAACGTCGTTTCGATGTATATTCTTACACCGTTATCAAACTGGAGTGACAACATCCAAGTGATGAGAGGTATACATGCATGATATGTTGTGATAAGCAGCAGATTAACATTGACAACAGGTAATAGATAACAAGTAGCATACAGTTGATTGAATGAAGCCAGATGTACAGTAAGAATAACAAATAGCATACAGGTAATGAAGCACACATGTAATGAAGCCAGATGTACAGTAAGAATAACAAATAACACACAGGTAATGAAGCACACGGGGAATAAGTGAGTGAGTGAGTGGAGGAGTTGGGTTTAACGCCGCTTTGAACAGTATTCCAGTATTATCGCGCCGTGTCAGGAGGAAAGCCCGAAGTGACTTCGGTGAAACCCACGAGCACGGGTATGGTGCTGACAAACCGAGAAACATAATCGGGACGAACCGGGATTCGAACCCACAATCATAGGTTTCTGGCGTGCGCAAGGGGCGCAATTCTGCACAGCGTATCGCGGCGCCTTAGACGACTGGGCCACCCGTGCCCCCTCGTAAATGGAGAACATGGAAACGTTTATAACGTACTAAGAGTATGTATGAAACTATTAATTAGCAGTTATACTTGATAAGGGCAGGCTGCTATTTCGCATGTTCATGTGGCGTACACCAGAGATGATTCCTCGGTCCAGTGTTATTTTCCATATTTATACGCGCGTTTTCTGAGTTTATGTCACAAATATTTGATAATGGAATTTTCATTTCTGAGGTAATGTAATTATTGCTTTATAATTTCATCACATTATCGAGGTGATATAGAAATGAAGCCGAGTCGATTTAAAGGTCTGGCATCTGATTGGCTCAAATACTCACGCATCCTGCCAAACATATACGTAATTAGCAAAGATCATATATGGTTATGACAGGCCCCTGTGAAGATCCGGGTTAGAAGCGGTCTTTTGCACCCCATGCTTGTCGTAAGAGGCGACGGACGGGATCGTGCAGTCAGGCTTGCTGACTTGATTGATGCATGTCATCGTTTTCCAAATTCGTAGGTCGATGCTCTTGCTAACAATCACTGGAATGTCTGGCCCAGACTCGATTATTTACCGACTGCCGTCATAAAGCTTGTCGATTATGGGGTGCGGCGTAAAACAGCAAACAAACAAACTTATGGCAGCATTCGTCACTACTCGCCCCTTTCCGTAACCTGCTATTCGGCTTGTCCCGGAATAACACGAGTTGGTCACGAATGTTATGGCAGTTGCAATCGTCTTAGCACTACGATCACTCAGGGGAACGGGGTTGAGGTTATACACTTATTTGTCTTTTTATATTCGTTTCTATCTGGTTAATGCAATCTAACAATGTGTTGTACACACCATCTGTACCGCTCAAGATGGTTGTTTTAAAATTGTGCATATTAATTTGAACCTAACGGTACACTCAAATATAGGGTCAAGAACATGGTAGCTACTGAACAACCATCAAAACAATCGCTCGAACACAACACATCGGATCAAGAATGGGCTATCTTTATCACCTGCTCTCGTGAGATGTCGGCGGCTTGTGCAACAACCCTCCACGATAAATACAGAACAGTCTAGAGGTTTCGTCTCTGTATAAAACGGATGGGTTCAACGAGCAGACGACACTTTGCGTTCTCGTGCGAGCAGACGACACATTAATCATGGCGAAACGTGACGTACCTGGACTTTCGTGCTTTGACAGGTGAGCTTATATTCAAGCACAACTGCATTTCTATGTTACATTCATTTAGTCAGTGATAACTGATCATCGGGTATTATTGACTTCAGCAATTTACAAAACGCCTACATATTTGACTTATTTTGCAAAGGGACTAAAAACTCTTTTGATTGATCTTACACACTGACTGTTACACATATAAGCTCATGCCTAGTAGTTACTGTTAAAGACCTTCGCGACTTCTTGTTTTCCTCCCACATCAAGATGACGTCGTGATCAGCCTCAATGCTGTTCAAAAGCGGAGTTAAATCCAACACCCTTACTGACTCATCTCGGTTGTCTCAAAGTCTGGGTAACACGACATATAATTCGAATTAGAGTCAACGTGGGAATTCCGGGTTACAAATGGTCAAAAGCAACCTAAAATGGCCGTACGAGGCATCTTAGTGTATTGGGTGGTCAGGCGCAGTGATTTGGTTGAGTGCGCGTCATCGCACCCTGACGGTTTTTTACAGACTGTAGTCATATAGATGGAAAATTGAGGCGGTAAGAAATTAGAAAGCTCTCACTGAATGTGTTGTTACAAAGTGTCCATTCACAACACATTAACAACTTGTGTAAGGCCACATAAGACATATCATGATGTGTATAATTTTGTATCCTCGAGTCATGTCGCAGTCTGGCGTTTTTGGTTAAGTATATTAAAACAACCCAAAGTTGCTATGAAAATTATCTTAAAGTAAAATGTTATATGTTAATTATTCTAGTTGTTGTATAAAGTATATCTTCCTGAGGCAAGTGAGTTAACTGACTATAAAAGTCCGAGAGGCATAGAAAGGGCATAACTCGTAATAGCCATTGGTGGCGCTACGATCGAGCCCAGGTATTCCAGCCTAGTTCGGCGAGGGTGGAAACTGAACTTTTATAGTCAGTTAACTCCCTTGCCTCGGGAAGATGTATAAAGTATTGGAGCAGGCTGTTGTATATGGATACCCATTAGCATGTTATGGCATCACAGGATGAAAACGGCAGCCACAACTGGGTAACGCATGTTCGTTTCCTGCGATAAGAAACTGGATTTAAGTATGTTTGGATCGAACAGGAGTCTGGCAGCATTTCAAAGTTTATGCAATGTTTTAAGCATAGATGTAAAGACATAGATATTCAGAATTGCCATGCTAAAATTATTTCTTCATCATTTCTAAACCATATTTCTACATATAAGTCTGTACTCGAACCAGAGAAATATATTATGGAGTTATGTCCAAACAAAGATCTCATCCGCATATTATTTAAATTTCGAGCAACATTTAATCAACCGGTAGCAACAAAAACTGTAAAGCTAGTCTGACCACCCAATCCCGTTAGTCACCTCTTACGACAAGCCTAGTCGCCTTTTACGGCAAACATGGGTTGCTGAAGACCTATTCTAAGCCGGATCTTTACGAGTTGAAAAGAAATCTGCCTGTATAATGTATCATACATATTCTATTGAGATAGTATAACAGTTGTCCCACCTACCCATGTGCTTAAGTTAACCTCAATACACTAAGATGCCTCGTACGACCATTTTAGGTTGCTGTTGACCATTTGTAACCCGGAATTCCCACGTTGACTCGAATTCGAATTATTGGCCATGCGGCCTTTGATACCGAATAAACTTCTTCTTAAAATAAAAAAATAATATACCACTGCCATCTTATCTAATATTGTTTGAAGAAATATTGAGAAAAACACATTCGTATGTGATCTGATTGTTTTTGCGTTGGTTTGGTTATTAAGCATGTTATTTAATCATTATTATATCCTTGTTGATCTTTATATATCAATTCCCAGATTAGATACGATTACATGGTCTGCAGACCAAGGGAGATAACAAGATACAGTACATATGTTTAAGTGAATAGCGGTGGGAGAATCCCAACACGGGTACACAATGAGAAGCCAATATCTGCAGCACCCTCCCATTATGTGTCTGGAATACCGCTAAAAGCAGCGTAAGACCGTACTTACTTACTCACCCTCCTCTCAATATTCTCACTGAAATTAATTAAACATGCCCATTTATATCAAATAACAAGTTTAAAGAATGAGGGTGGTAACGTATGCAATTATTTACAAAATTAATACAAAATTTATCTAAGTTTTTCTTTTCTCAAGTGAATGGTGTATCTAAAATGAAAGTAAATCGAGTTGGGTCCCAAAAACATATTTCAGAGGAACTTTGTATGGAATATCCCTGGGGCAGGAGGACTTTGTATGGAATATCCCTGGGACAGAGGAACTTTGTATGGAATATCCCTGGGGCAGGGGGACTTTGTATGGAATATCCCTGGGGCAGAGGGACTTTGTATGGAATATCCCTGGGGCAGAGGGACTTTGTATGGAATATCCCTGGGACAGAGGAACTTTGTATGGAATATCCCTGGGGCAGGGGGACTTTGTATGGAATATCCCTGGGGCAGAGGGACTTTGTATGGAATATCCCTGGGGCAGGAGGACTTTGTATGGAATATCCCTGGGGCAGAGGGACTTTGTATGGAATATCCCTGGGGCAGGGGGACTTTGTATGGAATATCTTTGGGACAGCGGGACTTTGTATGGAATATCTTTGGGACAGGTTTTTTTTGTATTGAGTGAGTGAGTGAGTGAGTGAGTTGTGTTTAACGCCGCTTTTAACAGTATTCCAGTTATAGCACGGCGTGTCAGCTTAATGTGGGAGGAAAGCCCGAAGTGATGCAGGTCTCAGACGTTTATCACTTCGGTGAAACCCACGAGCACGGGTATGGTGCTGACAAACCTAGAAACATAATCGGGGCGAACCGGGATTGGAACCCACAATCATAGGTTTCTGGCGTGCCCAAGGGACGCAACTCTGCACAGCGAATCGCGGCGCCTTAGACGACTGGGCCACCCGTGCCCCCTTTTTTTGTATTGAATATGCCTGGGAGAGTGAGACTTTGTATAGATTATCCCTATAGAGGGATATTCCATAGAAAGTCCCTGCTAAGATCTACGAAAAGAAGGCCCTCAAAATAATAGGACGAAGTCACTTGAGGTGTATAAATCTACACTTATCTAACTAAAGTAACGCCACGGCGTCATAATTCTTTAGAAAGGCTATCTTCGTGCATTAAAAAAACAACTTCATCCGATATAAAATACTGCGACATTGAGAAGTTAGCAGCAAGGACTTAAGCAATGACAACCAACCACCCAGGTCACGAGATGGATGCTCGTGTCTCCCACGTTTAGTCGACACTAAAGACACTGAGGCTTTTGTAACCACAATAAGCCTTGTAGTCACTAACTCATCTCAACTCAATCCTTGTTATGTTGGTAATTAAATAGGCCGGGATATAGCGACATCCAAACCGGACAAGACTGACCGGCTACATCTTCCCGAGGCAAGTGAGTTACCTGACTATGAAAGTCCAGTTTCCACCCTTGCCGAACTAGGCTGGTATCATGGAGTAACATTTTGGCTGGACTAACGAGTCTATGCATAGTCCAATCAAAATCGCGCACCGAAATCCAAATCCGGTTCGTAAAGTGTCATGCAGATTTCGATCGACTGCAGGACTTGCAAAGCATGTGCACCGCTAACTCGTTGTCAACAGATATTTTCTAAATCTTTTTAATCAAGGTGCTCACGTGATTTGATGCACTTCGCGATGTAAGACTCGTTTTATCACAATATAGATCTTGATTATCGATCAGATCGTCTTGACTGGGCGCCACCGTTTTGTTTGAAGCAAATGCAAGTGATACGAGAGGTTGAATCTGATTGGTCAATAGGAGAGGCATAGAAAGGAGATAACTAGTAATAGCCACTGGTGCCCAGGAATTCCAGCCTAGTTCGGCAAGGGTGGAAACTGGACTTTTATAGTCAGTTAACTCACTTGCCTCGGGAAGATGGACCGACAAACGCAAATGAGCCCACTTTGAAAGAGCAATACATTATTCACAGATATCTCATTATATACAGTTGATGACTCTTGCATTTGTTTGGTCTTGACAGTAACACATTTATTTTTGTCTTCATCACCAGAGACTCAGTTATGAAAGATCTTGAGGAGAAAGGGTATGCCGTGATACCGGATGTTTGCAGTGCGCAGGACTGTGACGTGTACATATCCCAGTACCGTGATTGGCTGTCCCAGTTCGAGGAGGATGATTGGCCATCTCACATGCACTCAGTCGTTCAGGGATATGATATTGGTCATTTCGAAAACACCTGGAACTGCCGCTTTAAAGCCAAACCAGTTTTTGCTAAAGTCTGGGAGACTGAGAAGCTCCTAACAAGCTTTGACGGTGTAGCCATATCTTTCCCACCGGAAACTGAAAAATTCGGAATTTATGATACCGGGAAAGCATGGTTACACGTTGACCAACCGGCAGAAAAAATTGGTCTCCATGGTTACCAAGGCGCTCTGTATTTGGAGGAGGCGGCAGAAACTGACTTCTGCTTCAGGGTTTTGTCGGGATCGCATAAATATTTCAACGCTTTCTTTGAAGAATTCGAAGACTCCGCCAGGAACGGCAACAGAATCGATTATTATAGATTAAATGAAGACGACAAATCTTGGTTCCGAGGAAAGGGCTGCGTTACCACAAAGGTTCCTGTTCCGAAAGGAGGGATGGTCCTTTGGGATTCTCGGACAGTGCATGACAACTGCAGACCGGAGAAAGGCCGCCCCAATTCTGACAGATGGCGCTTTGTGGTGTTCGTGTGCATGACGCCGGCCAAGTGGGCTCGGGCCGATGATGTTCCCTCAAAACTCAGAGCTTACAAACATATGATGATGACATCACACTGGCCATCTCAAGGAATCAACATTTTTGACAAGTGCGATCCTTTCAATCATCGTGAAATTAAATCTCCGATCGGCGACAGTCTTCCGGAAGTTGCTACGACAAAGGAGGCGAAGTTGCTATCTGGTGTGATGGAGTACGACTTTGACGACGGTGAACCTAACGGGCCTTCTTGGGAACCTGTTTGGAATGAGAATACCAGCTTCTATTAGACATGACCAAGGGCCGACAAAAAGAAATTTGTTCCAGAATTTATATAGAAGTTATATAGACCTTATTTGTATACAGCTGTGTTATATATACCTTATATATATAAGAAGAAAATCGTGTGCTCGTGTGAAAAGGTTAGCAAACTTGAAGATTCATTTAAAAGAAATAATGTAATCATCATGGGAATCCAGGAAAGCGAGAAAGAACTGTGGACAGAGACAGAAGATAAAGTAAGAAACTTTCTAGAACATGATCTTGGAATCGAGAATGCAATGAACGATGATGTATTCCCAATCGAAACTACGCGTAGGTTGGGGAAAAAGAATAGTAATGGTAAGCCAAGGCCAATATGTGTTCAGTTTATGAGGTTTAAACACAAACAACATGCCCTTGGACAGTTTCGGAAGAAAAAGCGTGAAGAAGGTGAACAAACTGTTTTCTTGAAAGAGGATTTCAGCGAAATGGTAAGGGACAAGCGCAAAAAACTTTATCCATATCTCGAGAAAGCCCGTTACCACATCGGCGAATCAGAAAAGATGTTTATGAGGTATGAAACAATCGTGGTGGCTGGCAGAATATACACATTCGACATGGAAACAGGAATACGTGCCAAGGATGGGAAACCCTTACCCCAGTGGATGGAGGAATAGGGGTGCGGCCAAGGCCAGAGTACATGTAAATTAGATTTTGGAAGTCTGAATGTTTTCTCATGGAATGTTAGCGGGCTAAAAAAGTTTGTAAATAGTGATATTGTGAATATGTTTATGAAATTTGACATTATTGGGTTGTATGAAACTTTTAGTAGATCAGAGACTGAATTCTCAGACTTATTACCTGGATATTCTCACTATGGAGCTGCAAGGAAGTACTCAGGTTCAGGGCGTGTAGCTGGGGGAATATATGTATATGTCCGGAAAAACATTGCCCATTTGTTCCAGAGAATATGCTCAAATTATGCAAATGGAATATTCTTATTGTTTGATTGGACCACTTGTACATTTGACATGCAAACAGTATTTTGTTTCAATTATATCCCTCCAGAAAGTTCAACGTATTACAGGACTGTAGATGAGACAAATGGGATTGAGAGCCTCCGGAGTCAACTAATGACTGTCATATCTGAGTATGGTGACAATATACAGTTTACTGTAATAGGTGATTTGAATGCGAGGGTGGGACTTTAGCAAGATTTTATAATTGATGATGACATCACATACCTGGATGCAGAATATGATACTGACTGTTTTAACATTAGAAGAATATCCAAGGATAATGTTGTGAATTTATTTGGACGATCACTACTATCACTATGTCGAGTGATGGGGCTACACATGCTAAATGGAAGATCTGGAGGATATAGGTGTGGTAATTTCACTTTCATCTCACATACGGGAAAGAGTGTAATAGATTATGTCTTGGTTTCTACAAGTTTGTACAAAAGTGTTTCAGATTTTGACATACTTGCCATACCAGAATCAGATCACCTACCAGTGACATGTAGACTTAATTTAATCCCTCAAGTTAATCCACACAAGACAGGCCAGCAGTTAAAGTCATGGAATAAGCTAAATTGGAAACCAAACTTCAGCCAGCTATATGTTGACAAACTTGTAAATGAAACATGCAACAGCGAGCTGCAAATGACATTTGTAAAGAATCTGGATGATAATGACATTAATGCGGCAGTAAGCAACTTGTCTGAAGTTATTTGTAAATGTGCTATTTTAAGTGGTATGAAATCAAATAAGGGGTCAGAGGGGCGCTACCCTAGTCAGCCCAAGTGGTGGGACCATGAATGTGAGATTCTCAAAGGTGAAAAATATAAGTGTTTAGACAAGTTTAGATTATCTGGTTCTAACATTAACTTCAAGAATTACATTTTATCAAGAAATAAATTTAAGAATGCATGTAAACAAAAAAAAGCCAGATATGACATGGCAGATAAACCAGATGTAATGCGGGTGATAAATAATGCGGGTGTGACCACACGGGACTTATGGAAATTCATCAAACGCTACAACAGGCAAGGGAGGTCTGGCAGTGAAGCAATTTCACCAGAGGAATGGTATAATCATTTTTCATCACTGCTCAACAACAGTAACTTTGATACTGACCCTGACTTCTGTGAACATGTACATAAGTTTATCAGGGATAATGAAGATGACACAGCCTGTTGTGACAATGTTGAGGGTGTACAAGTTTTAGATAAGACTATTACTATGGAGGAAATTAGATCTGTAATTAATGATCTCCCCAATGGCAAAGCGCCAGGACCTGATGGAATTTTAAATGAACATTTAAAAAGTGTATCTCATATACTTTTATCATATATCCACAGGTTATTTAACAAGATATTATCTGTTGGAGTTTACCCATCACAATGGACAGAGGCAATAAAATTTCCTATTCATAAAAAAGGTGAAAAAACAGATCCTGACAATTATAGGGGAATATCTTTGTTATCAGTAATTGGAAAGGCCTTTACCAAAATACTAAGTAATAGACTTGTTGGCTGGTGTGAAGAAAAAGAAAAGCTGTATGAGGAACAAGCTGGCTACAGAAATGGATATAGCACCATAGACAATATATTTGTATTACAATCGGTTATTCAGAAATACCTCTCCAAGTCAAAAGGGCGCTGCTATTGTTTATTCATAGACTTTTCGAAGGCATTCGACAGCGTCCAGCACCATTTATTGAAATATGTACTTTTACAAAAAGGTGTTAAAGGTAAATTTTTCAGTTATTTCATCTCTGTATAGTCAGCTAAAATCATGTGTTCTAGTTAACAAGTCCTCACTGTCTGAGTTCTTTGAATGTACAATAGGAACCAGGCAAGGGTGTATGATAAGCCCACTGTTATTCACCCTGTTTTTGAATGAGCTAGTAGATAATTACAGGTTTAATGATTGCAAGGGTATTTTTGTCAATGAGTATGCTGAAAACATCACTTTGATAATGTTTGCAGATGATATTGCTAATGTTGAAGATTCTGTTAGAAGGTAACAGCACCAGATAGATTGTTTAGCAGGATTTTGCAATCAGTACGGGATGAGGGTTAATTTTGAGAAAACGAAAGTCATGGTATTCCGAAGAGGTGGTATAGTAACAAAAAAGGAAAAGTGGCATTATGATGGTATTCCTCTGGAAGCAGTATCCGCTTATAAGTATCTTGGGGTGTTTTTCACCCCTAAGCTCTCATGGAGTTTGGCAAGAAGTACCCTGGCACAACAAGGAGAAAAAGCTCTGTTTATTTTGTTTGGATTCTTGAAAAAGTCTAAGCTTAACATTAAAGAGTCCTTGTTTCTATTTGATAGGATGGTTTCTCCAGTCTTATGTTATGCATCATGTGTTTGGGGATTTGAAAGTGTCCAAGTTATAGAAAATGTGCACTGCAAATTTCTTAGAAAAGTTCTCCATGTTAATTCAAACACTCCAGCAGCAGTCTTGTATGGGGAGCTAGGACGGTATCCATTACATGTAACAACCATGTTCAATTCAATTAAGTATTGGCTGAAAATATTAAACATGTCCACAAATAGGTATCCTAAGGCTTGCTATCTGATGTTATATCAGTTAGATGGGGCTGGTAGAGCCACATGGGCAACTAGAATAAAATATCTGTTGAACAGACTTGGATTTGGTCTAGTTTGGTTTGAACAGGGTGTTGGTGACATAACCCATTTCCTTAGAATTTGTAGGCAAAGGTTGCAGGATTGTTGGAAACAAACATGGGCACTATCTATAAGTGAAACAAGTAAGCTTTATAATTATTCTATTATCAAATCAGTGTTGGAGCCTGAAAGGTATTTGCACAATATGAAGAGTAAAAATTTAAGAATTGTTCTTAGTCGATTCAGATGTGGTAACCACAAACTGGCTGTTGAAATTGGGTGTTGCTAGAGAGGATAGAGTATGTAAATATTGTTTTGATAATCTGAGTGTATCAATTGTGGAGGATGAAGTTCATTTTATTACATCATGTTACTTGTATAACAAATTCAGAAATATGCTTTTGCCAAGTATTTGTACTAGTAATCTTCGTACTCTAGACAAATTTGAGAAAGTTATGACAGATAATTCTTTGTCAGAATCTTTAGCACTTTATATTGTTAAATGCACGCAGGCAAGGCAGGTTTATCTCATAGGTTAAAGGGAGACAACTCTATATACAGTTTACGAATGCTTCACCTCCTCTTGATGATTATAGTAGATCTCTTCTTAATGATTGTAATTTTTGTTTGTAACTTAAAATTGTTGTGACTTGATTATATACACATGTACTCTGGGCTGGAGGCCTTTATTACAGAATAAAAGAGTCTTGAAGTCTTGATATATATATATATATATATATATATATATATATATATATATATATATATATATATATTTCTTTCTCTCTTTCTCTCTCTCTCTCTCTCTCTCTCTCTCTCTCTCTATATATATATATAAATCATATAAAACAATATACAAAAAATATACAAAATAATCACACGACACGAAGTGGTCTCCATGTTTCATTTTTTTCTTCACAAGTCGACACAGAAGACATTTCTATGGCAAGCCATTCTATTGATAATCAATATTTATTCAAACTGTAGTATACGATACTATTGCAATCGTTATTTATCAGAACAGAGCTGAACTTTATTTGCACTCAGGCCGGGATACTCGGCATACGAGGTACAAATTTACAAACAATATATACATAAGATGGCGGGATGTTTTACGTGGAATATTTTAGTTTTCATGATGACATTACCGAATGTACAGATTGCTTTTATATCACTATTTTGTTTGCAATTAAAGAGTTATTTCAATTTAAGCATATTTTGGTTTTAAACATATGAATTTTGAACACATATTTTCCGTTGGTGTTCGAAAAAAGGACAGAAGAATGTAATGGAATTCATCACCAACATCGCTCATGTTGTAGAGTTTACACGTTCGTTCATTGACAGGGTACCCGTGAAGATCGTGGGTAGAATAGGTCTTCAGCAACCCATGCTTGCTGTAAAAGGCGACTATGCTTGTCGTAAGA